CAAGGACTTGAGATTTCCTAATGTCTTTTACAGACTAGTACTGTAGGAAGTTATCTCTGACCTGCTGAAACTAAGAAATTGGTAAACATTTTCATGGAAGACTGAGTTGAAGTATAGTTCTTGATCTACTATTGTCATAATTTACAAACTTCCAATAGTCAATTTTAAGACTTCAGCCATCTCCAGAACCTCAAATATGTTAACTACTAAAACATCTGAATATTACAGGCCAAACTGAAAAAACAGAATGCATTTTTCCACCTTTCCCTTCTCTTTTTTTCATTTACATTTAGAAGAAACAACATATTCAGACATTTTCTTTTTTAAAAGAATTGCTCCTTCTAAGCATTAATTACATAGTCATTCTGAACAAGAACATTCAATCATTTTTTACATAAAAAGACTACTGTTTCATAAATGAATGAGAAATGAAAAGCAAATTCCTATCTATTTCTCCTTTGACACATCACCATATAATTAACAGTATAATGGAGAAAAATATTCAATGTAAGCAGCTGTGCTATAAAGTTAAAATGTTGACTTATTCTATGCTACCATATTATCCTAGTTATTCTTCTTCCTTCTCTTCATCATCTTATTGTACCTACTTCTAAGTTATTTTTATTTTAAACAACTGCTAGGACAAAAGTAATGACAGTTTACTGTCATATTTAGCTTTTTTTTATATTTATAAAGAACAAAATGAGAAAAGAACCTTATTATACACTGCAATAATCATAAATCTAGTAAACTTCTAAAATCTGACCCAAATAGCATTTATTATACCAAACACCACTACAGCCAAAATGTTTTCAAATGGTATTTCTTCGTTTGTGCTTCCAAAAGCCCAGTTTAATTGGGAAAGAATATGTTGAAAAATCTTTACTTTCAAATAGATTAAATAGTATACATGCAAATACATAAGTACTTTTTTTCATTTTCACTTTGAGAATTGAAATATTTTTTTCATCATTGTTTTCTAGTTAAAGCTTCTTATACAAACACCCATCGCTGCTGACTCCAATTGAGAGTAACCCTACATTAAAGTGTACAACTACCCCACTGGGTTTTCAAGAATGAGATAGTAATAGAAACAGATTGTGAAATACTTCTTCTATGGAACAGTGATGTCAAACAGTAAAATTTTATGCTAACTGCTGACAGCTTTAACCATGACACCCTCAAAGATTCTATAAAAAGTGAGTTAAAAATATTCTTTGTTATTTTATGCATTTTGAAACTATTAATACTGATCACATTGAAGCATATAGATTATAAGGGAATAGAATTTTTACAGTAATTATACATGTTTAGAACACTGATTTGGTGGGTAATACAAGGAAATAGATGACTAGGCATATTAAAACATTAAAAGTGGGAAAAGTAAATCTTTACCTTTTTTAAACAAATAAACTTTGATTAAATCACCAAAATTATTATATATTCTAGTACATGAATGTGAATGGTTGCATTTGGAACCAAAGACAAGTATGCTTGACTTTGGAGGCAAGAATGATGAGCCTTCGCCTCACATACTTTGGGCATGTTGCTAGGAGGGGATATTCCTTGGAAAAAGACATGATGTTGAGAAGTATGGAGAGTTCCTGAAGGATAGGAAGACCCTCCAACAGGTGGATTGATATGGTGACTGCTGCATTGGGCTCTTGTGTGTCACAAAGTGTGAGGATGGTGCAGGATAAACAGGACCAGATCTTTTGTTTATAGGGTCACTATGAGTCATATTCAATTTGGTGGTACCTGACAACAACAACAAAAAGACAAATACTAACTTAGTGACTGTAACAGGTACTAGAAAATTGAAAATTACTTTTGCTTTTATCTATTTTTTAAGATCTGTAACTGAGAAATTGTCATGTCCCAAACATTGATACTGATAGCTACAGTAATACTTATTATTTGACAAAGCTTTTTTTTTATGTGCTAAAAACTCTGTCTGTATTGGCAAGTATGCTGAGTGACAAACTGAACCAGCAGGATAATAAAAAAATAAAACACACACAATCAATATTTGTTGAACATTATCCTGGATTACTAACTCATATTCACTGGGGATGGCTCTTTTCTTGTTCTATTTATCACAATCATAGATTACATTGGTACCCTCCTACTGGTGACTTAAAAAGTGGTGAATACATATTTTAGGAAAGCATTTATTTCTTTTAAAAAATAAATCTAAGATGAATGTCTCCATATTCCTTTTTATCTCATCATGAAATTGCTTAGAAATTCCAGATCAAATTGTGACATACATGAAAGCTATGTGGATATTTATCTTTCCAAACACTTTCTAAATGAACATCGTAAATCTAAAGGAAGCAAATAGCTTTGATATGAATAATAATTTAAAGGTTTATATAGAAAACAAAACAAAAAAAAACCCCACTCTACATTTTACCTTGTATTTTTAGCTATTTTTGGAACAGGACACTTCACCCTGGTCTTCTAATTAATTATAAACCTGTAACACTACAAAATATTTTTGTTACAACTATTGTGACTAGTGGCTCAGTTCTAAACTGCGTAATAGATTCACTTTTAAATCTTGACTATCTTTATTTTGAAGTTTCTCAATTATTCTATTATGTAAATTGACTTTTTTTGCAAAATCCAATAACTACATAACCAATTTCCAAATGCTTAAAATAAAATGTAGTCAATTGTTTCAGTACATTGACTTCCCCCCACCAAACAATCTTTTTTTAAAAAAGCATCTTTACTAGAGGTGATTCCTATTCATGTCTTTGTGGTAAAGCCTTCCTGATATTATCAAGAAAATGTTAAGTCCACTTCCATCAACTTTTTCTGGAAATTTTAATATTATATACTTATGTATACATGTACCGATGTACTCCTTATTTTCTTTTTAATTTAGGAAATTATTTTCTCACCACTTAATTATTTAATTAATATGTAAGCAGACTGGAAAGTAGTTATTTCCTAAACATTTATTCATGTAGGTATTACATATATCTCTAAATAAACAGATGCTCAGAAAAGTAGTGGAATATTATTATTATGTATATATCCTATACATTTCACTCATTCAGACTGTAATATACTATTGCCATTGACAAGGATGAGATGTCTGTCTCTTGTTTAAATGCAATGTCTAATATATAGACTGAATAATTATGTGGCATCTCATGTTTATTTTATGGAGGAAAACATTAAAATTGGACTATGGTATTAAGATGTACACCTTTAGTCAATTTCTAAGACACTTTATAATCTGTACCTTTACTATTAATCTTTACTAGATTCTGTACTCAGAATAGTCATAAGATACACTTTATATACTTTAATATGGCCAATGAAATAATACTTTTGAGTTCTTCAAACTAAAGTCAATATGAAATAACAAGAGAAGTACATAAAATTAACGAATAAATAGTCACAAACAATTAAAATTTATCAAGTCTTGAGACAGAGAAAACTTTGAAGGAATATGTACACAAAATTGTCATCATTCTTACTGCTGCCATAGTATCAAAATTTCTAGAGAGACGCTACAATGGAAGTGGTTACAAAGGATTAACACTTAGGGGTAATGCTTAGTGCTATGTGCCTGGATTTAACAACATTAACAGGAGGCTGCACAGTTAAATCCTTCTACATCCCGTTGAAATGTGCCCCTTGGTGTCAACTTGGCTTGACAGGATATTTCCTGTGATTCAGAGAGGTGAAATTTCTTACAGGGGTGCGAGATTAATGGCTAGAAGAACTGCATTGTCACAGCTATCACAAAGTGTTTTTAAAAAGCTAAAGGGGATTTAATCGTACAGACATTTTCTGTTAGAGAATAAAGAGATTTAGTAGCTTTTGGACACATAAGAGAAAATAAAGAGATTTAGTAGCTTTTGGACACATAAGAGAAAAAAAAAGACAGTATTCTGTGTTAAATTTTACTTTACTACTTCCCTGTTCCTCCTATTCATATTATAATTTGGAATGCTTGCTCTTGAATGCTGCTGAAACAAACAACTAATAAAAATACAAGCAGAATGATAATGCACACATGTGGAAGTAGACACACAAAATCCCAACCTAAATTAGATTTTAATTAGGCTGCATATTGTACAGTATATACACATATATATCCTAAATGTCTCTGGAAGAGCAAAGAAAAAGTAAACTTTATAACACAGAAAAATAAATATATACCCTGCATTGTACTTGTTCTTTGTCAAGTAACATATTTATATACTAGTTTCTATAACTAAATGCTGTGTAACAGCATTTTAAAATTACAAAAGAATGTAAATACTAACAAACAATCTACTCATATTGCTCTTCAATACACTTATGTAGACAATTAAGACATGAAGTTAATTCCAGTAAACAACAGCTTTTGTTAGCCCACAAAAGGCTAGAAAACTTTTCCTTTCAATTAAATCCTAAGATCTTTTGAAAGGAGCTGCTTTAATTCAGTGTATAAAGGTACTATATATATATAATTATAGATTTTGTGTAAAAAATTATCTGGAAGCATTGGGCAGGATTTTGTTTAGTTTCAACATAAGATCAAGTTTAATCTCATGTTCTTTTTCAATGTAGGTGATAATTTCTTGTGGAAAAATTATACTAAGAGAAAGATGAGATTTTAGCAAAACGCTGACTACATATTCTGTGGATGACACAAATGTTTTTCTAAAGTTTAGAAATCACGGTTTTCCCTTTTTGCCTTCTTTCTGTGTTAAAGTAAATCTCAGGGCTTGTTACAAAGTGTAGAATCACTCATTTGAAGACCAACTCAATTCAAACAAATGGCAGGAGGGATTTCAACTGATAGCAACCCCATAGGATAGACTAGAACTGCCTCATTGGGTTTCCAAGGCTGCAATCTTTATGGAAGCAGACTACCACATTTTTCTTCTGCAAGACAGTTGTGTTTTGAACAGCCAACTTTTAGCTAATGTTTAAGCAGTTAACCAGTGTACCACAAAGTCTCCTTCACTTGAAGAAGTAACATTAAAATGTAGTTACAATGGCACCATTCCGTTTATCAGTTGCACCTTCATTTCTTGAAGGCTGTTCATGATCTTCTTCTGGTGACCGACAAGAGTCACTCCAAGTCGTCTCAAATCCCTGCATGAAGAAAGCACACATTGGATGCATGTATTGATTCAGATAGCAGCACACCTCAAAATTTCATTGACAAGACGGTAAACATTTGGCAGAAATCAGTTGAATTAGAGTGTCAATTAGGTAATTTTCAAAAGTATATTCTGAAATAATACCTGGAAAAATCTGTTCAAAGGAAAAGAAAAAAATTGTGAACTCCTATATAAATATATTTATTATAGGAGTAATTAAACATATATTACTTTCTTCTTTTGGATAATCATATTTATTATTGACATATTGTAAAAAATAAGAATTGGCACATGTTTATTAAAAAGCATTTAATTAAAGGATACATAGCTTTCTAAATATGGATCTACATGATGCATAAGCACGTTTTTTGTTAAGATAAAAAAGCATAAATGTATTTTTAATAATTTACAACAAAATTTTTGAAGATTTAACTATTAAAATGAATCATTCAATACAAATAATTTTGTATAACATATGCATATTGGCAGAGTTCACTTTGCCCCTTGAATTCTTGAAAGAATATTATTTCCCTAGAACCTAAAGTACCATATTATCCTAAAGTATGCCTTCGGCAAATACAATTATTCAGGTATGCTTGACAAATTATAATTACTAATTATAGAGTTAAATAAGCATTACAATTCAACTTCTAGATATCAGAGATATTTGTCATATTTATTCTAATAATTTTAACACATTACTACTCTAAAAGTGGAATATTTTTACTTTCAGCAAATTCACTAATAGTAGAATGCCTTAGTGTTCTTTAAAATTTGATGCACTGACAGCAAAATAATCAGAGGTAAAATTTAATTATTTAATAACTCTAAGAAATATTTAAATTATCTAAAGATATAAGACAAATAAAATGGTACTGAGGCTTTATATAAGGAAACCAGAGGCATAGGGTTAACAAAAGGATTGGTACTTCAAACCCATCAGTTACTCTGAGGGAGAAAGAAACGTCTATATGGTTTCATAAATTTTTACTGCTTTGGAAATGCTATGGGAAGTTCCATTCTCTCCTATAGAGTTATTATAAGTTGGAATTGGTTCAATAACAGTGTACAGAGTAACTCAAAGAGGATTCTGACAAATGAATTTTGGGACACACACGCGCACACACACACACACACACACACACACCCTCACACACACTCTTCCAGTACTATGTTTAAGTTGCACAAGAAATAGTTTCTTTATAAATTACTAGAAATAAGCTTTTGTGTGTTACCATCCACACTTTATTCTGAATGACCAGAAGAGAACAACTTGTTTTTCCCATACAATAACAGGAATTATATATATTTACCTTGACTTTAAGTTCTACAGTCATCATTGTTGTTATGTGTCATCAGAATCAACTGATAATTAATACTGCAGTTGGTTTTCAGAGATTATAAATTGTATAGTAGACTTCCCACCATTCTCTAGTGGAGCAGTTCCTAGATTTGAACCACCTGTTTTTGAGTTGGGAATACAGCACCTTACCCACTAGTCCTATGTAGATTAGTATTGGAAAAAAAATATTTATCTAAAGTTTATCTTAGGTTTCTTTTTCTCTTACATTTCTTTGGTTTCTTATGAGCATTTCAGGAAATTATAAGTAGCTAAAAAATTGGCTACTTATAATATGAATGTTACATAGTAACTTTTTTTAGTAGTAAACCCCTTAAGTTCAGAGTAGAACTCCAGTATAGAATTTTCAAATATATGCCTTTTCAGAAGGAGATTGCCAAACCTGTCTTCAAAAGCAGTTTTGGAAGAGTTTGAATTGCCAATTATTCAGAAGTTGAGTGCTTATTTGTTTTACCCCAAGGTACTACAGAGTACAATAAATAGTACTAATAATGGTAGGGATGGAAACACTTCTGAGCAAAATATTATAAAAAAATTACTTTGAAACAAGATCAATTTACTTAATTATGAAATAGACTACTATAAAAAGCTAATTACAAACTAACCAAATAAAGATGCATTTAATATTTCCTGTTTTCCACTAAGACAGAGTTCATCAGCCTCAGCACTTTTTACATTATGAGTAGGATAACTGTGTTATGGGACACTGTCTTAATTGTTTAGATATGTTTGAAAGAATTTATGATCTCTATATACAAGATGTCAATGTCACTATAATACCCTCTCTATGTGACACAAAAATATGTTATTTGGGTTGAAAAAGTCACCTTGGTTGAGAACAAAAATACTAAAAAAGGAAACTTGTTGGCAATGTTTATAAATGATGAGGAAACAAGCTGTTAGAAAATTTCTATCCCTGGGTGCAATAGCATAGCCACTAGGTAGTAGAGCTAGGACAAAAGACAACACTGAATATCAAAATCCTTGCTTCTATTTTCTCATCTTTCTGAGATATATGATACTAAACAAAGAGCTTCAAACTGCAAATTTTCATCCATATGACACAATGAGAAACTTATAGATGTAACATCAAATATTTCAAATTCTACAGCAGATAAAATGTCTAAAGTATAAATGTCTTCTTTGAAATGTTGATAACAATGTTTTAAGTAAGTTTTAGATGATAAAATAATTGTCTTCTATTTCTATATGTATTTCATGGAATTGTGTAGATGTTGGTAAACATGTCCATTCACTAACATACTTTGGAACTATGTCAGGAGAAAAGAAATTCAGTTTTCCCTTTTCTTATTATAAAACAATCAATCTTTAATATGAAATGTAATTAACTAGGAATAAAATAAAATTTAAAACCTAAGTTTTATAAGATCAAAGGAATTCTGACAAATGAGTATTAGGAAGTACATATACATGCATCCACATGCACATCCAATTTAAGTACTGTGCTTTAATTGCAGAAGTCATAATTGTTCCACCAATTTAATGATGAGAAGTGGGCTTTTATAGAATGGTATTTATATTTTATTCTACATTACCTGAAAAGACACTCACTTTGTAGATTTTTTTTCACACCAAATGACAAAGATATTGCACAGAAAAAGCAAAGCATTCATTCAAAAGTGTATTTAGGTCTGATATTCAATTCGTTGTTTTGCCTAAAATATCAACTTATTGGTTTGATGCACTTTTATTTTCAATCTTGGATATAAATATAGTTTCATTTCTTGGAAGTGATTTGTCTATAAAAAAGATGCTAGTTTAGTGTTTTGGAATTTACTTTCTAATATCTAGTCTACTAAATAGTGGATGTTTTGAGGAATCATATTTGATTAATTAAAGTGCAGTGATCATAATCATAGGCTAGCAAAATTTGCTTTTTAGAACATAAAATATATCTAAAATTTAAGCTCAATTTCTTAAAATTTTCCCATTGAAAATATACTTTTATTACAACTTCTGTTTATGTTTTGATAATTACAAGATGCAACAAGAGTAAACCCAGTGAGTCACTTCATCATTCTCATATCAATTTGCCTTTAAATGGGATACATATGGTTATAAACACAACATTGCATTTTACATATCACAACAGTTTCAAAATCTGTCAATCAGTGTATTAAAATTCAAAAAATAATGTTATTTTAATGTGTACAGCTTACAAGTATTTTTATGCAGTGCCATTTTGCAAGAAAACATTGAAACAAAATCATTTAAGCAAGTAAATATAATTTTCAAGAGTAAGATCATTTTTTTAAAAATTAATATTTTAAAGATGCTAAAATTGTAAGCTAAAATAATATTACCTTGGAATTTATAGCAAAAAATAATTATCTTTACTCCACTATTGGTAAATTAATTAAAATATATTCTTTGAAGTAGCTTTGTAATTACTGTCATAATTACCCATAATTATAATTTTATTATATGCTTATCAAATGAAAAAATTAACAGTAATGTGAAAGAAACAAAACTTCATAAAATGTGTTAAATCTTCTTAGTTATTTTTCTCTCTTGGCTTTGTACACATTTCAGGCATTTTACTTACTGATAATTAGTCAACAGCTATTGACCAGATAAGAAAAGGCAAAGTAAAGATTAATACATTTCACTAAATTATAATGTTTTCTTTTCCTCATATTCTTTTAATATAGTTGAAAACTTAACATTTTAAGTTAGAATAATCTTACTAATTATTTATATATCTATTCCATATACATTGTTGTTATTGTTCTTAAGTGCCATCGAGTCAAAGGCGACTCATAGTGACCCTATGAAGGAGAGTCCTCAGTGCTTGGGTGCCTTTCATCCTCTCTCCAGGTTCATAGGGTTTCC